TCTAATCAATCATCTTGACATCAAGATCTATGCATATGAAAAAAAAGAAGTCTTTGAATCTCAGAAATAGTGCATCTTGCAACACATTATCTAGACCGTTCATTTTCAAGATTTTCATATATTTATAAATCTACTTGATTTTAACCAATTTTGGAATTTAAAATTTTATAATTAGGTGTATGAAAATAGATTTTAAGATAATACTAAAAATTTTTTACAACAATAGTACATGTTATGATACAATTTTAAGCTGCACCTTAATTGGATTGTTTAAGGTTGCAACCTTATAGAAACCACACCCTCTCTCTCTCTATATATATATATATATATGAGTAATAATCTTATGAGATCCTCCCACACCCATGTGTGTAGAACTCTAAAGGATCACCATTAAAGTTGACACAGATCTCTAGAAAAGTTATCACATGGGTGTGGGACTTGACTTTTTTAGAGATCTGTGCCAAATTTAATGGTGATCCTATGGGGTCCTACACACATGGGTGTGGGAGGGTCTCATAAAATCATTACTCTATATATATATAGAAAAAGTTCCTATACGCCTATGTGCCTACCGCTATAGTAAACGCCCAATGGCCCAAATCGAATCTGGGCCGATCTGACGTCATGGTTGTCCGAGAGTGTTTGAATTTTTTTTATTTTTTTTCTACAAATTGGAATGATCTGGAATTTGGAATGTGTTTACATCTTATTGAGGAGCACCTAATAAAAATATAAAAAAAATAATTCGTAAAAACCAAATTGACCAAAATACCCCTGAAACGTTTCGATGGTATTTTGGTCAATTTATTTCATATAAAATATATTTTTGATAATTTTCGTAGATTTTCCTATCTTTTATGAATACACCCTCCAAATTTTAGATAATTTCAATTTGTAAAAAAGTTTATATAAGGTTGCAACCTTAAAATGTAGAACTATGAATGCACCTAAAAAATCCATCGGAAAAGGTTGTTTTAATATTGAAAAACCCTCTAATTGATCATCTCGACATTGACATGAATGAATATGAAAAAAAAAATAAGGATTTTGAGTCTCAAAAATGGTGCATCTTACAAAACATTATCTAGACTGTCCATTTTCAAGATTTTCATATATTTATAGATCTACTTGGTTTTAGTCATTTTTAGAGATTAAAATTTTATAATTAGATATGAAAGTAGATTTTGAGTTAATATCAAGGATATTTTACCTCAAAATTATATGTTATGATAAAATTTGAAGCTGCACCTTAAATGGATTGTTTAAGGTTGCAACCTTATGGAAACCGCATCATATATATACATATCTATACAAAAAAACTCCAAGAGGTGAAAATAAACAGTGATTTCGCCTACCCTCATTACCATCCAAACATCATTGCATGATCAGTTGTCCGGTACTGTTTCAATTTTCATTTTTGTTTTACTAATCAGAATGATCTGAAATTTAGAGTGTGTATTGATCTTAGCGAGACCCATCTAATAAAATTATAAAAAAAATAATTTGTAAAAGATAAATTGACCAAAATACCCCTAAAAATTTTCAAAGGTATTGTTGTCAATTTATATTATGTTTTATATTTCGCGAATCATTTTAAGGCGCGCCTTAATTAGATTGTTTAAGGTTGCAACCTTATAGCAACCGCACCCATATATATATATATATATATAGTCGAAGGAGAAATACCTATGAAGAACTCATTTCTCCATGAAAGTTTTTCTCAAAGTTCCTTTTCACGAGCTATGTTCATTTAGTTTTTCTCAAGTTGTTAATTTTTCTATTTGTTATCTATGGGGAAATGTTTTATAAGGTTGACACCACAAAAAATAGAATTATGGTGCACCTGTAAAATGCTCTAAAAAACGTTGTTTTGATGTTGGAAAAACATCAAATTGATTGTCTCGATGTCGAGATGTATAGATTTGGAGAAAAAGAGAGATTTCAAGTCTTAAAAATGATATATCTTACAACACATTATCTAGACTGTCCATTTTTAAGATGGGCAAGCTTTTTATGCTTCCCCTACAGCATAAAATTTATATAATTCCCTTATCCAACTGTCCATTCTGAATGGAGGGCTAAGATTGCCCCAATCACAATGTCACGTGTCTACACTATTTTATTTTTAATTGTCTATTCTTTAATCTAGTTTGACACCAAATTTAGGACGTCCAATCCTCTATT